GAAACACCGCCTGCTGGCTCAGACTTAGTGCAGGAGCAGAGCGACGCGCAGGAGGCCCATGAAAAGAGGGCGGGAGACGCCCATGACGCGGCAGCCATTGCAGAGACATCGGCAAGGAAGATGGACGACGAAGGGCCAGCAGTGCCACGGGAGCCGGCAGAGATCGAAACAGGTGAGGAACGGCACGAGATGTCGAGTCCTTCGGAGGGCGCGTCTGTCGCGAGCGAAAAAGAAGAAGAAATGAGCGAGGCCGCAGCTGCCCCTGCCCTTGACGAGGATGCCAGGCGACCTGTTCTCAGCCCGCTTGACTACACCGCTGAGTCATTTGAGGCTTCTGAGCACGCCTTGAAGCCCTCTGAGGATGTGGAAAGGCCGTTTGACGAAGAGGACATGAAGGAGCAGGAATCGGAAGCCGTCGCGGTAACTCAACCGCCGGTGATGCCCCTGCATGGTGAGATCTCAGAGTTGACGGAAGGGGAGTTCTCTGGCACGGCGTCGCTGGTGGCTTTCGCCTCTGAGGCGGGGGCGGTTGAGGGCGTGGCAGCCGCACCCGAAGCGTCTGCCCCACCAGATCCGTTGGATGAGCCCACCCCCTCCCCCCTGCCACCGTACCCTTCCACGAATGAAGGAGGCCCCTTTGTGCCTCATGAGGCGCCGGAAGCGCCTTCCTACCACTGCACCATAGAGGCTGCCGAGGAGGAAGTGGAGGAGGATGCCAGCTTTCATGCAGATGGTGTGGCCCCGCATGCGCACGAAGGCGACGAACACCAACTCTCTGCTGATGTTGTGGATACATCTTCTGACGTAGACGAGATCGAGCTTTCTTCTTCAGCGATAGCGTCCGAGCAGGAGGAAGAGGTAGCAGAGCACCCACAGACCCCGTCTCCGGCGTCAACACCGGCTCAAGAGGCGGAGACACTACACGGAATCAGTATGCCCACCGGGTCTGAGTCGGCCTTGAGCGCCGATGCGCCGCCCTCTTCCACTGGCTCTGATTACACCGTCAACGCGTTTGCCAAGCACGCGAGCGCCTCTTCTTGCATCGACGAGGGTGATGCGCCGGCGCACGAGAATGAGGCCGAGGGTGAGATGCTTGACCTCAAGGGGGTGGGAGTGCCCTCTGCTGATCCTCCCGCTGCTGCCACTGCGCCAGAAGGGTGCGATGAAGAGAGGGAAGATATGGACTTCACGCCGACTGCATCGAGCCACGATGATCTACCTGCCCTCGTTGCAGAGGGAGTCCCTTCGCCCTTTGGCAACGCGGAGGACGAGAATGAGCATTTCGTCGATACTGAGGACTTGGGGGGCGGCAAGCACACGGCGGCACCCAAGATGGGCGTGGATGATTGGGAGGAGGAGCTCTCTGCCTTGCCGGCTGCCACCACACCGGAAACGTCTGACGACGAGGAGGCGGAAACGCTGCATATGGCGCTGAACAGCGGCCGTGACCTGCTCGACCGGCGTCGCGGCGTGGAGGAGGAGGTGCAAGACGATGACTTTGACTTTTAACTTGCGTGTTTCGTCTCACACCCGGAGAGACGGAGAAGCAAGAGCGGGTTTGTGCGTATGTGTCTCCTGCAGCCTCGCAGATGTAATCTTTTTGTGTGCCGCCGTGGACATGCGGTGCTCTTTACTTGCTTGTTTGCTTTCATTGATGTTCCTGTTAAACTTTATGGAGCGAGCGGCGTTGGCCTGAAGAGTTGGCGTCACGAAAGGAGATCTACGCTCCCCACCCACGCTTTTTTTTTTTATCTCTCATGTGCTTTTTCTTTCTTTGCTCCAGTCGCGCCGTCAACTGGTGGAGAAACACCGTCGGCGGCAATGACAGGGAGCCGCTGCGACGGTCCGGGGAAGCGGAAGACTTGATGCGCTTCCGCGGCAGCCGCAACGCGCGTCCCCTGAATGAGCGGTCATGTTTGCGGCGGCGGCGGCAGGACTTCTACAGCGCCACCTTCGCACTCACCCCCTCGCCCTCCCCCCACACCTCCGACCGTTGGCATAGGCATCTTCACACTAGAACACCCGCGGCCTTTGGGGAGTCCAAGTCCCCCCTCCCCCCCCCCCC